AAAAAAAAAAAAAAAAAAAAAAAAACCACTTGCGATCATGTGGAACCTACCCAGATAACCCAGGACATTGTCTTATTTTAAGGCTGGCTAGTGAGCAAACTTGCTTCTGTCTGCTACCTTAACTGCACCCCCTGCCCCTTGCTATGTAAGGTCAGACATTCCCCGGCCTCAGAGATTAGGACTTTTGCGTTAGAAGTTATTCTGCTACCCCCATAGTGGTTTCTCCTCTCTTTGAATAAAATAACTCCAAGATGTGCACCTGTGCAACTTCTCATACTCCAGTGTCTGCTGGGATATCTTCCCAATACAATGGAATCCTCGTCTCATGGCTTATTCCTGAGCGCACCCAACATAAGAAGCCAGTCTCAGGTCTGTTCGTTGAAACTGAAGCCATCTGCATACTGTAGGTGTTTATTTTAGTTATTTGTGAAATCCCAAAAGGAAGAGGGACATTTGAATATGGTGGTATCTATGGCAGATCTAGACTGAGACCAGGATCCAAAATGATCTGAGAGAAGGGCTCTCCAGGCAGGAACAGGCAACTACTGGATCCTGGAGGCTTGGGGAGGAAACAGGATGCCTCGCAGGCAGGCCAGAGGGCATTCCCGGCAAGTGCTGCCTGCAAGGACTGCAAACACAGAACACTACGCATCTCTCTCTCTTGAGCCGTGAATTGCAGTTTTAACATGGTTGTCAGCTTCCGGTGTAGACTTGTTTCTGTGTAACTATTCCCAAGGCTGACCGTCTCCACCCAACAATGATCTCTGGGGGAATCACACAAAAATCAGACCTACCTGATGAACAGTTGGGTCCAAATAAGTTGTCATCAGCACACATTTCACAGGCTGTCCCACCAAACCCCTCCTGCAAAACACCCCAGGTGGATAACATGAGACCCAAGGTCACCTTGAGTAAAACCCCTCTCTATGTTACTCAAGAAACCCCTGGGCCTTCCATGGAGAAAGCTGCAGAACTAAAGATAGAAAGTTCTAAGAGTGACAGTAATTTCTCCCAAGGGTAGAATGGAACTGGGTCTGTTTGGTTTTGCATTTGGGAAGGAAGTGGAACTCAATCCCAGGCACAAACATTGCTTTGTGTTTAAATCCTCTAAGGGCACACACTTGCAACCAGTCACTTTCATGAAATAAAAAGAAATTTTCAGTTGGCACATTTGGTGGTGGGTCAAGGATGCCAAAGACAGCAGCCAAGGGCCCACCTGTGGGCCAGCAGGGTGATTATTAGTAGTCACAACTTCTGTACAGCTTCACGGAGTATCTTTACATATACATTTTATGTTATCTTCAGTCAATATCATTGATGGTCTTTCAGACCCAACAATGCTGTGGAGATGTTAATGAACCTGCCTAGAGGTCCTCAGCCTTCACAAGATGTCGTTTTATTGTTGTTCCAGATTTAAGTTTTTAAAAATTTAGTTTAACTAAGATCACTACTCTTGAAGACTTTTAATAAGTGGGTATGTTTAAGGATGGTCAACAGGAAGGAAGGGATGGGAGAATTGGGAATAGGGAGAATACACTTCTTTTTGAATATTTTTTCCATCTTCTCTGTTGATCTATATTTTTCCTATTGGCTTATATCAGTTATATGGGTGGATTATGATGAATTCCAATCAATCTCACCACCTGCACGTGTCACTCTAAGAAATAAAGGCTCCAGCAGTTTTCCTCATCCCATTTTCCTAGTTGCAAATAGTCTATTTTGGCAGTATTCAATCTTCTTTATCCTCCCTCCCCCTCCCCCCCCAGCACCAATACCCTCCTTCTGCCATTCCCCATCCTCCCACAGAGTCAAATTCTCTCCCTTCCCATCCCCCATTTCGCTGCAGAGAACACATTTTGGAACTTACTTGACAGGAGCAACTTCCACTTCCTTCCATGCCTTCATCACAGCTGCCCCTGCCACTGCAGGGTGACCCTGCACCTCCTGGGCACTCTAGGGAGTGAAACAGCCCAGATTCATTCACTGGAGACAGAGCCCAGGCCGCCTGCAGGGAGCAGTCAGCATCTCCTGCATGCCATGGGGTCTGCTAAGCGCCAGGATGTACACTGAGGCTCCACAAGTTAAAATGATTCAAGTCATACTGAGTATGTTTGCTGACCACAGGTGGGGTTAAATGGTTATTTGCCTTCTAAACACTGCTTTAGCTGCATCTCACAGAGTTGATGTTTTCATTTTCATTCATTGAATTAAAGACACAGACCTGGAAATAATAGTAGGAATCTTATTTGGCAAGTTCTCATGTATTATGCTTAAATTACCCATCGTCAGTGAAGAAAGCAAAAGGGAAGTTGAGAAGCACTGTGAGCCAAATGAAAATGAAAACATATCGTATCAATATGGCGAAATGCCATGAATACGGTGCTCAAAAGGAAATTTATGGTACTAAGTCTACATCTAGTAAGTTCTCAACTTGTGATCCAACTTAGAACTTATGATAGAGAGAAAAATATCAGAGGAAGATAGGAAACATCAAGATAAAAGCAGACATCAGTGAAATATAAAATAAATAACAATAAATTGATAAAACAAAAATCTGGTCATACGCACTGATAGACTTTTAGCCAAGTGTGTGTGTGTGTGAGAGAGAGAAAGAGAGAGAGAGAGAGAGACAAAGACAGAGACAGACAGAGAACACAAATTACAAGTAGAAAAATTGGAATGGGGACATCACTACAAATGTTACAGATATAAAATCAATAGCAAATAAATATAATCACCTTTACAGCAGGACATTTGACAAGTTAGATGAAATGGGAAAAAATGATCGAATGCCACAAACTACTCAAGCTCACTGAAGGAGAAATAGGTAGCCCAAATACCCTTCTATTGAACAAATTATACTAATTGTACAAAATCTCTTCTATGATGTTGAAGAAGAGAGAACAAGTCCCAGTTCACTCCATATGGAGACAGTACTTCAGTTCTGGAATCATAAGAAAATTCTAGACCAACATCTCTGATGAGCATAGACTCAACACTTCTTAACAAACGTTTAGTCAACTGAAACCAGCAATATACTAAATACAGTCAGTAGAAGAAGGTAATAAAAAAGATGTAAGAGGATATAATTTAGAAAGGGAAGAAATAAAGTTATTTTAATAATATTTACCTATGGAGAAAACTCCAAATAATTTCCATAATGTGATATAAAAATACATGAGTGTATAAGTCGTAAGTCAGTATAAAAATGAAATTGGCTTCTTTTTATAAGCTATCACTGAATAATTAATAACAGAATTTTTTAAAATCATAAAAATGGGTACCAAAAGCCATGGAAGCATAGAAATGTCCGATGAGTTTTTAGCATTGAATTTGTTGTATGGATTGTTTCTAATGTTTGGCTTGTTTCTAATGGTTTATGTGTTTTGATAAACCTTTCATTTAATGAATTGATTCAGTCAGCATTTGTTGACTGTATCCCATTACTGGCAAAGCTGACCAAGAATTCTTTTTATGTGTTTTCATGACAAAGTACAGTAAGGTTTTTCCAGGATGGGAAGGAGCCCAGGATGTGTCTTGCTATGTCAGGAAGAAATTGATGAGGCCAACCTTGTGTTTATTTCTGAAAAGGTGCCAGAAAAATGCTCCTCTTTGCAATTAGTGGCCTTCCATCCATGTATAGCCCTATGAAGCCTGTTAGTATGAAGGGCGAAGGCTGGTTGGAAGTTTCTGTCTCCTAGAGATATTCTGCAGTGGTATGGCATTTTTCCCTGTAGAGAGTGCTCTATCCTGGCTCAGCCCTGTCTCCCAGTGGCTTGTGGATGCAAAGGGTAAAGGTAAACACTTATTGTTGAGTTGTGACTACTTATTGTGTCTTCTACAAATTCTTGTCTTGAAGCCCTGATTCCCATTGTGATGATATTCAGAAATAGGGCCTTGGAATGATTAGGTTTTGGTACACAGGCAAAGTGTGCAAGGTCCTAAACTCCTTGAGATGTCAGAACCGCACCTAAGCTCTCCATGCAGTTATTTCCTCTATCTGCTTTTGTGACAATGTCACTCATGAACCTGTGAGCTCCTTGAGGCTAGGGATATATGTGAGTGAGGTCAAGTCTCTTTCTCTCTCTCTCGCTCTCTCTCTCTCTCTCCACACACACACACACACACACACATACACAAACACACACACACACACATATTAGCAGATGATCAGAAGAATGTCCCATATATACACATATACATACATAATACATACATATATTTAGGTGTAGCATATATATATATATATATATATATATACATATACATATATAGTAAGCACGCAATAAATGTATGATCCTAATAAATTGGCCAGTCCTGGAAGGAACTTTGGAGAAAGGCAGTGGGAGTATGGGGAAGCAAGCCTCCTTTTTTTTTTTAAAAAAATACCCTAAATAGAATGTCTTAACATTATATGAAAACTACTTGCTTTTTACCCCCCTGGTCCTGAAGCTTGAACTCAGGGCCTGGCACTGTCTCTGAGCTTCTTTTGCTCAAAGCTGGTGTTCTATTGCTTGAGCCATAGCACCACTTCCAGCTTTATTGCATATAAGAGTCTCATGAAATTTCTTGTCCAGGCTGGCTTTGAAACATGATCCTCAGATCTCAGCCTCCCGAGTAGCTAGGATTACTGGTATAAGCCACAGGTACCTGGTTACTTGCTTGGTTTTAAAATAAAAATCTTAAGTAAGAGTATAAATGTATTTCCTGCATCTTAAATCATTTTCTATCCCCTCAGACCCCCATTAAGAATAAAGATGATGAATTGGCATTCTTGGAAATCACACTTGAAATAGCTGCTATAGAATTTGCCACACAGGCGTGTTTCTGGAGCATTGTTAGGCTGAAGCAACTGATAAGACTTCTTTGGGCCACTATCACATTTCCTTTTTGGTCCCTTCTATTCTGGTGGTCTCCTGTATCATGACTTTGTTCACGCAGGGTATTTAACCATTATTAGTTGTCAGCAAATCATTAGCTAGTCTGTTGTTTTAAAGGAAGATAGTAACTTCCTGCCTATCACTAGGCCAGGACCTCCTTGTAACTTTATTTCCTAAGGGGCTGTAGTCCACTTTACTACCCTTGTTTTGAAGCTGGCTGTCCAGGGCTAGCAGAAAATCTGTCCTACTTGGTATAAATCTATGTCTAGCTTCTGTGTATAGCTTGTTGGAATTGTTTGTGTGGGAAATGAAGGTTCTCCAGGTGAACCCAGTAGTAGGTGTTACTCCAAGCAAAGCAAAGAACTTGCTTCAAAGGATGCTTTTTTTTCCCCTGTCGGTCATGAGGCTTGAACTCTGGGCCTGGGCGCTGTCCCTCAGCTCTTCAGCTCTAGGCGAGTGCTCTACCACTTGAGCCACAGTGCCACTACCAGTTTTCTAGTGGTTTATTGGAGATAAGAGTCTCACAGACTTTCCTGCCCTGGCTGGCTTTGAACTGTGATCCTCATATCCATGGGCATCTGGCCAAAGGATGGCTTTTAAACTGAATGTCTTGATATTGTCACAATGACAAGGAAATATCAGCACAAGTCGGGCAGCAGTGGCTCACACCTGTAATCTTAGTTACTCAGGAGTCTGGAATCTGAGGATTGTGGTGTGAAGCCAGCTCAGGCAGGAAAGTGTGTGAGCTTTTTTTTAATACCCAATTAACTACCAAAAAGCTGAAATTGAGCTGTGGCTTACATTGTACAGTGCTAGCCTTGGGCAAAAGTCAAGTGAGCATGTGAGACCCTGAGTTTAAGCCTCAGTACTGGCATGTGAGTGTACACATATGCACACATGCACACACACACACACACACACACACACATACACAAGGTGGGGGAGGGAGAGAATGATTTTCATCTAAAGTAAAATATCAGCTGTTCAAATATGACTAAAATTTCAACTTCAAACTGTCTTTGTGTGTCAATGAGCAAAGACTTGTGTATGTGCTTAGGCATTTACGCACCAAGCAGTCCAAATTTTACTCAGGGAGAATCAGGTTAAATGCTTATGTCAGGATGATATATTCCCTGCCCCCACCCCCCAAGTGAGGGTTCGTCCCTTATTCTTAATTGTAGAATATGACATTTTTTCATTACTTTTCTGTGTTTTGTATGCTTTTAGCATCATTTATTGTTATTTTAGATAGAACTAGAATCGTGTTGCGAAGTGGGCAGAGGTGTAGAGCCTGAACGTGTTTGCTGTTGTTTCTATAAAGGAAGTGGATGCCCATCCGCCTCAGTGGAAGGTCACTCCTGGGGCTGGAAATGTCCTTCCCCAGCCAAGGAGCCTGTCAGCAGCTCTGGAACGGCCTTGCCCTGGCGGATGAGGAATGTGATAGGCAGGACTTTGCTTGTCACTGCCACCGAGGGGGAGAGGTGAAATGCACAACCAAATGGAGGATTTATCTTCTTCCTGAGCTGCAGGAAGGAAGGCTTCTGCGACATTTAGTGTGTTTGGAATAGAAGATAAAGGGAAGTAGCCTTTTACCCCAGTGCGAGGACAACAGAAATCAATGTCGACAGAAAATAATGTTCAGGACTTGCTTTTTTGCCTGTTTTGCTTCTCTGGCCTCCAGACCTGTCCAAAGGATATGCACGAGCATTCAATGAATTGTTTTAGATGCTTCTGATCCTAAGATGACCCTTGCCCACAGTTACCTGCTGTAAGTGCGTGAGAGCACAAAATCTGCTATCAACTGTGAATCCTGTTTGCCTGCTGATGTTTAAGACATTATCCACTCTTATAAAAAAAGCTCACAAAAAGAGGGTTATTTTGTTTGTCTTTTATGATTAGAGGGTGGTTTTGATTATGATTTACTCATTCATTTGATTCATAAAACTTTTACCCAGTGCTTTCTTACCAAGTCCTTTTTTAAAAAAAAAAATGACCAGAATAATGTCTGAAAATCTCCCTATAGTTTTGTAAAGTAGAACTCAGTGACTCTTCATTTGACAGATGAGGCATAAGCAGGAAGCTATTCACCCAAACTAGTAAAAGATCTAAATTCAGACCAGATCTTTTGGTTGCTGGCTCTGTCTTCTTTTGCTCTGCTGGCTGTGGCCTGTTGGTTCATTCTATTAGACAAGACAACTTATGTAATGTATCTTAGACAAAGTCTTTTCTTGTCTAACCTGTGTCTGATTAATAAGATAACAGCAGATTAGTTTTCACTGTCCAGAAAGAAGAAAGCAAATCTAAAAGTTCTTTCTGTTGTATTGAGATGTCTGTAGGAGCTAACTGTAGTGTGGCCATATCCGACACAAAAGCAGTCCTTGAAATCTGAAAGTGTGGGGCGATTGCTTTAAAATCTTTTAAAAAATTATCTTCAAGTAGTTGTACAAAGGGGTTTCAATTCAACATGTCAGTTTATGAGTATAATACTTTGCTTCTGAATGCCTGATGTGGTATGCTAAACTCAAAGAAATGCACAGTATCAACATGCTGGGTGAAAGCTAGCACAGGGAAGTTCATAGACAGGAGGGCTGGGAGAATCAATCCCAAATCTTGATCCTGCATAGCAAGGAATATACTCTAGATCGTGACTGGAAAGGCTGAAGGGACCATCAAAGGAGGAATTAGAAAGACATGTAGAAGATCTCTCTCTTTCTTTGTCTCTGTCTCTGATTCTGTCTCTGTCTCTCTCTCTCTCACACACACATCTCTTTTTTTTGACAAGCTCTATGTTAAGTAGTGAAATGATGCAGAAGGAGAGCAAGCAGCTTTTGGTGCTGGAAAAACTTGAACTTAATCACTTATCATCCTTAAATTAAATGGGCAAGAAGATAATCTTTGACCATTTGAATCCTCATAGATAACTGTCTAACTCAAAGATTTGCTTTAAGAATTATATGACATAATCAAGAGCCAAGTACTTCTTCTCCAGGACCTATGTCAGTGGTATTAAACAAATGGAAGTTAGTATATTATTGAATTGTTAGTTAAGAAGAAAACCAAAGCAAACCAAACACAGGAAACATACTTTATGTACAAGGCAAGCTCAACAATTTGAAAGTAATATGGGAAAAAACCTCCACCAAAATTGAAACAAGCCAAAACATATTGACTCGTATTCTGTTATAAGGGTTCTTTATATAACAGAATATGAGTCAATATTTTTCTTACTAGCTTTCTTATTTGCTTATATTACTTTAAAAAAACAACAAAGGATCCTAAGGAGATGTTTTCATTATATCTTAGAAGATAGGGAACAAGTGGTGAACTCATTGATTAAAAAATTATGATTTAATCACTGAAAAGGGGAAGGAGGAGGAATTTCACACTGTTTGCTTAATATAGCAAATATCAACATCTGTAATCGGTTTCAGCTAAGGAATGTTATGCATGACCACAAAAGTCTGAGTTGCTCATCAACTGAGAGAATAGGTCAGAATTAATTTGTCTATATGTACATTTACTTTATACAGTTTCTTTACATTGAAGCATCTTAAGTTCAACATAATAGAGCTTGTTTATTCCATCCTAAGATTTAAATATCTAGAATACTTCATGATTATTTTTGTTTCTAAACAGTAATTACAGTCTTTGAGATGTAACAAAATTTCTTCTTAAAGCAGTTGCTTTGTTTTTGGCAGGGGGTTCACATTTATCCAACATTCATCCTTAGACAATAAACTGTTTTTTTTTCTTTTTCATGAAAATGAACATCCTTTCAATTCCCCTTTTCTGATTTAGAAAAGAATTCTCTTAAAGAGAGAAGATCTCTAGCAGAGTGTAACAGATTTCATTGTAAAAACAGACAGGGCAAGAGAGGTTTTTATTTTTCTTCTACAGATAGACTGAAATAGAAATTTCTAGAAAATGTTGTTTTTATTCTATTTTTATTAGACTTTCTTCATCTCAAATTTCTGTTAAATGGAACATTCAGAAGGAAGGATTAAAGCGTAGTACTACTTACCCTGGCAGTCCGGCCCCCAGTGTCCTGGACAACATTGTGGTTGGAGGTAGTTCTTCCTACAAATATGGCGGCACCCAGGCAGAGGCCAAAAGTAGGATTTGACGTCATAGTTATACCTTGTGGGAGCAAAGAGAGGACGTTACCCATTGAGATATGAGCAGTGAAGTTAAGCAGGTGGTGAGATTGCTCTAGGTCTGTATACTTATCCATATTAAAAATATAGATTAAACAAAATTGGCTCTCTAGGTAGAATAAAACTTAATCATAAATTATTATTATTATATTATTTTTATTCTTAGTTTCTATTTTTATCTGTGCTGGTCCTGGGACTTGAACTCAGGGCCTGGGCACTGTCCCTGAGCATTTTTTTTTTGTTGTTCAAGGTTAGCACTCTACCACTTGAACCACAGCTCTACTTCCAGGTTTTTGGTGGGCAATTAGAGATAAGAGTTGCATAGAAATTTCCTGCCTGGAGTGGTTTGAACCTGGATCCTCAGATCTCAGCCACTTGAGTAGATAGGATTATAGGTGAGCCACCAGTGCCCGGTGGCTTAATTGTTATACATTAAGTTATTATAAATTATATTATGTTAAATTATATTATAAATTAAATTGTTATAAATTGTTATACTTAATTGTTATACATTAAGTTATTATAAATTATATATTATATTATGTTAAATTATATTATAAATTAAATTGTTATTAATTGTTATACTTAATTGTTATAAATGGAGGGGGAAACGTGAGAAGCTATGAACACAGGAGGAAGTACCTCAAGTGGAATTGGGAGTGAAGCTAGTAGATAAAATAAATTATTAGGTCTTGGCACATGTCAGAGGTGGGCCTCAGACTGCTCACAGAGTATCTAGCCGTCAGTGCTAGAAGGGAAAGGTGGTGAGCTACACAATGTACAGGGTTTAATGCAAACTTATTGTTTAAGATTAGCTTATTTATTGCAGATACCATAGTCATTTCTGTGGCAGAGGCAGTGTAATGGAGTGAGTGAGATGCACCTCCGTATCCTTGTAGGAGATAGAATGATGAGTTCCTCAGAAGTATTTCTAGTGCCAGCTGAGGTGCAGCTCTAGAGTAACAATTCCATAGAGACTAGGCACCATTGTCTGTGTGAGGGTCTGGCTTATTTCAAGATTAGACTACAGTATGACTGGAGAGCATCCTTCATCAATCTCATCTTTGACAGCTGGGTTCTCTTTAAGAACAGAGGGAAGGGCTGGGAAGGTGGCTCAGTGGTAGAGCACTTGCTTTGCATGCATGAGGCCCTGGGTTCGATTCCTCAGTACCACATAACCAGAAAAAAAAAGCCAGAAGTGGCGCTGTGGCTCAAGTGGTAGAGCGCTAGCCTTGAGCTGAAGAGCTGAGAGATAGTGCCCAGGCCCAGAGTTCAAGCCCCATGACCACCATGACCACCACCACCACCAACAACAAGAAAAGAACAGAAGGAAGGTGAGTTCAAGGCTGTGTTCCCACATATAAGAGGGCAACAGGTACATGAATGAATGTCCAGCATCATATATCGTCAGTGAAAGTCAAGGCAAAACCATAGTGAGACATGATCTCACCACTATTAGCTAAGATAGTCATTATATTTTTTAAAAAGCCCCCAATACAATAAGAATTGGTCAGGATATGGAAAAAAAAGAAACCACTGTACACGAAGGTGGTAATGCAAAGTGATACAGAAACCATAAAAATAGTTTGGAAGCTCTTCAAATATTAAAAATGGAACTATCATGTGGTCCGTCAATCCTATTTCTGGGGCTCTAGCCAAAGGAATTGATATTAAGATCTCAAAAAGATATGTGTTCATGTTCATTGCATCATAATTCACAATAGCCAAGACATGGGAGCAATCTAAACTTCCATCAAAGGATGAAGAAAATATAGTATATATGTATCATATATGTATAGACATATATGATGTATGTTATATAAACAACATATAGTGATATATAATATGGTACATAATGATATGATAAACATGATAATATGTAATTATATAAATAATATGGATATGATATATAATGATATTCTATGAATGTGGTATGTAATATTCATAATGGAACATTTTTACCCTTTAAAAAGAAAGATGTCTTGTACTTTGTAAGCAACATGGATTAACAGATATATTTTACTATGTATAATATAGGCCAGATACAAAATGACAAATATTCCATGGTAATACTTATATGAGGAATCTAAAATGACCAGAGAGTAAACTGGTGGTTTCCTGGGGCTGGAATGAAGGGAAAATTTGGTATTGTGTAAAAAGGAAACAAAGTTTTGGCTATACAAAAATAAGAAAGTCCTAGAATTCTAACGAAAGGTATACTGCCTATAGTTATTAATAAGGTTAACTTGAAAATGGATGCATAAAATTTGCAAAAAAGGATAGACTTTGCATCGAGTGTTCTTATTGCCCCCAAAAATGAGGACCGGAGAAAACTTTTGGAAGTGATGGACATGTTTATGACATTGCTTGTGGTGACAGCTTTATGGTATATACTTTTCTCTAAGTACATTGAGTTGTGTACATTTAGATAGATACAGCTGTGTGTGTGTGTGTGTGTATGTGTATGTGTGTGTGTGTGTGTGTGTACCAGTCCTGGGGCTTGAACTCAGGGCCTGGGCTATGTCCCTGAGCCTATCTGCTCAAGGCTAGTGCTCTAGCACTTTGAGCACTGGCCTCAAGCATCAATCCTCAGATCTTAGCCTCGGGAACAGTTGTGATTACAGGCATGAGCCACTGGTGCCATACAAAATCATCATAATTCATGGCTACTTCTGGCAAAGAGTTCATTCAGCTTCTCACCAACTAATGGGGATAGCCATGAGGCTCAGAGACAAAAGCAATGCTTACTGATCTGGAAATTAAATATCACTCCATGAGTTCATTTTCAGTTCAAGAATGAAAAACTGGTATTTTAAAATTTTGTGTGGAATAAAATCTTAATGCTATTATATTACAGGTGAATGCATATTGTTTAACATACCCACAGTACATACTACTCCACAAATCACTATTTTAAATAGTTTTACAATATTTTAATTGGCCATTCTAGAATTAACAAACATATTTCTGCACTTGGCCCCTGAATTTCTGAACATATTTGCAGCCAGTTTCATTTTCAACTAGAATTATATCACAGCTCAAGGTTAAAAGAATACATCTCCCTTGTGAAAGTCAATAAATGCTAAGGAAAGTAAATAAGTAAAGTAATACGCCCACTGTCCTGAGGATACTTTTGTACTGGCTAATGTCCTGTTCAGGGCCAAAGTAAGCACTGAATTAGACCCTGTGTGTGTGTGTGTGTGTGTGTGTGTGTGTGTGCGCGCACACACACACACACCCCAATACAATTTTGCACTCCTACTGTTCAAAGCCAGCCCAGGCAGAAAAGTCCCCATGAGACTCTTTATCTACAATGAGCCACTCAAAAACTGGAAGTGGCGCTGTGGCTGAAGTGGTAGAGCACTAGTCTTGAGCACAAAGAGGCTAAGGAACAGTGCCCAGGCTCTGAGTTCAAGCCCTGCAATTGACCAAAACCAAAAACAACAACAAAAAGAATGCAGAACTCAGATGAGCACATGTGACTTATGCCTGTAAACCTAGCTGCTCAGGAGGCTTAGGGCCTAGATCTTTGCTCAAAGCTAGCCTGGGCAGAGAAATTCATGATGCTCCATCTCAAAAAAAAAATCCCAGCAAAAAGCCAGGCATGGAGACATGGCTCAAGTGATAGAGTGCTATCTGAGCAAGCACAAGGCCCTGAGTTCAATCCTTGGCACTAGGGAAGAAAAAAGAAAAGAATGTAACCATCAACAAAAATTTCAACCCTGTTAATATTCTTCCTCCATTTCCTCCTCCTCCCTTTCTAATCCTCCTTTTCCTCTATTCCTCCTTCTCTTCCTCTTCCCTTTCCTCCTCCCTCTCCTCTTTCTCTTATTTTTTCAGCCCTGGTTTTTGCTGGTTATTTTAAAGATAGTTTTTAATTTTCTGCCTGAGCTCATGGCTGGATGGCTATCAGTTCATTTTAAGTTTCCAGTAGTTGCTGGGGTAACAAGTGTCCGTTAACCTCATCCATCATCCCTCTGTTGAGATGGAGTCTCTCAGCTTTTCTGAATAGGCTGACCTGGAAACTTGATCATCACGATCTCAGCCTCCTATGCCATTTAGGATAACAGGCATGTGCTACTGTGCTCAGAAATGAGTTGAAATATGTTCTTGTGAACTTTTCTTTCTGGATTGTCCTCACATTGTAATCCTTCAATTCTCCTCCTCTTAAGTAGTTAGGATTACAGATATGAACCTCTGGCACCTGCTACCATGCTGAAATTCTCTCTCTCTCTTACTTTCTTGCTTCTCTCTTTCCTTCTCCTTTCCTTTCCTTCCCTCTCCTCTCCTTCCTTCCCCTCCCCTCCCCTTCCCCTTCCCTCCCCTTCCCTTTCCCTCCTCTTTCCCTTCCCTTCCCTTTCATTTCCGTTCCTTTCCTTCCTTTGGTTGGCCATGAGACTTGAACTCAGGGCCTGCTCTACTCAAGGCTAGCAGCACTCTACCACTTTGAGCCACAGCTCCACTTCTGTTTTGTTTTGTAGTGGTTAATTGGAGATAAGAGTATCCCACAGATTTTCCTGCCAAGGCTGGCTTTGAACTTCGATCCTCCAGATCTCAGCCTTCTGAATAGCTAGGATTACAGGCGTGAGCCATTGGTGCTCAGCTCTGAAATTCTTTTGTTCCTTTTCTTTGCTTTCAAATTAGCATCAAGAAGCTCCAGCTTATTAGACTCATGACTTTTTTTTGGACACATTCAGACTAGATATCTTTCCAAATGAAACAACAACCAAATTTTCAAAGTAAGGAAGGGAAGAGGAAGAGTGAATGACCTGTAAAATGCAGTGTAGTCAGTTTTATATTAAGATGTGAATCAATAGTAGTAGCATATGCACATTAAAGTTTGTACATTTGGAGTTAGCCCAGTGTGGGTTCAGTGTATTCTTAGAGAAAAATCAAGGAAATGGTTTGCACAAGTTTTTAAAATCACAAGAGTGCCAAGACTTGAACATACTTATTATTATTATTATATTTTTGTAATGAGTACCTGCAATCACGAACACCAACAGAGTTGTTGGTTATCTTAGTGTAACCATCTGGGCACTTGATTCCAAGATTGAGCCAGCAGGATTTGCACTGTGTCCTAATTGTTAGAACAGATTCCTTATCACATCTTTTTGCCTGTTGGAACATAACAAAGAATATCAGTTCTCTTTATCAGAGTCTTGCAAAATCTGTCTTGCTCAATTAAAAAAAATAAATTATCTTCAAGTAGTTGTACAAAGGAGGTGACATTTAACAAGCAGTTTGTGAATACAATGTACCTTGATTAGTGTCACCCCTTTTAACATTCTTACAGGTCAATTTTTTTTGTTCCATTTCCATAGAATGTCAGAGATGGCAATGAGGTTGATTGGTAATGACTGGCTCCTTGCTTTCAACCTGTCTGGTAGAGTGTTGGGCTCAATGAGTAATGCCTGCTCTGTGTATAGGAAAACAAGAGTACTGTTTGTGCTATATATGTGACATCCCTCATCTGTATGTCATTACCCCTATTGTACAAAGAACCTGAAATATATTGCATGACATGTGCCTCAAATAGGAAATTGCTAGCACAGGTTATTTAAAGCCAAGTGGTCATAAGTCATACTCCTTGAGGATAATCTTTCAAAATTAATTCAATAGGGACATCGGCTGCAGGACCATCCCTGTGCTAAATGCTGTGGAGGACACAGCCCCTGTGCCAGAGACACCTGCAATGCTTGGGTGATCATCTATCTAGAAGTAGGCTGCATGGCCAGGGAGTTTTTTGTGCTGTCCCTGGCTGTAGCCTCCACGCCTAGAAAACTGTCTGATGCCTAGTGGTGCCCATGAATACTGGTGGATGGAATGAATGAATTGGGGATATGAGACAGACATGCGAGGCACAGTTATTTGGCAACCTGGAATGGCAGAGAATTAACGGCTAACATGAGTGACCGGATTTATTCTGGCCAGGCCTTTACAAACTCCTCTTGCTTCTGATGCTGGGGTAGACAGAGTTCCTTCTCTTTCCTGAGTTTCCTTCCTCTCCCCAGAAAGCTGCTTCTAAAACAGCTTTGTGTAAGGCATACAGACTGAACTTGGGAGTTGGAAGACCTGAGTCTGGAGCAGATTTTTATTTCTTTCTAAGCATGCAATTTGTGTGTGTGTGTGTGTGTGTGTGTGTGTGTGTGTGTTCATGGGCACAGAGGTGTGCACGCCCATATCAGACTTGAACTCAGGGCCTGGGCATTGCCTCTTAGCTTTTTTACTCAAGGCTAACACTACCACTTGAGCCACATCTCTACTTCTGGCCTTTTGGTGGTTTATTAGAGATAAGCCTCTGATGGTCTTTCCTGCCTGGACTGGCTTTGAACTGTGATCCTCAGATCTTAGCCTGAGTAGCTAGGATTATAGGTGTGAGCACCTGACTAAGAATGTGATTTGAAAGAACTCTTGCCTTTTGTCATCATTGTAATGCTGGAGATCTCAATAAGCACTCTCAAGGCACTGGACCTTTTGATAATGTAACAGGTACAGATTCTCTGCTCAGTATCTGGAGTAGCACCACAATATATTCTGGCCCATGAAATCTTCTCTGTCTGATCTCAGTGCTTCACCTGCCGCTGATCCCACAGGAGTGTTCTCTCCCCTCCCCTTGGCTACTGAGTCTATATCTTCCGCTTCCCTGCTTAGTACCATCCCTTCCACAAAACCATACTCATCAGGCTTCTTTTGCTCAAGCTCTGCCTGTTCCCCGATTGGCCCAGTGGGACAGTGTGAGCCTTTGCTCCCCAGTGAGAAAACCCTTTTGGGAGAGGGCTATGTCTCCTATGGGTCTCCTACACCTCACAGCTCATCTACAGGCCAGCACAGGTTAGGCACAATGGAAATGTTATCAGTGCTTTTACACGGATGGCAGTATACAGGGTCTACCTGAGAAGCAACCTTATCTTTGCAGGACAATTTATGACTATGCACACCTCCAAAAGCATTGCTTTAGTTGACCATCACAGCTTTAGAGAGAGGGTATTATCTTCATTTCTGGAGGGGAGTAAGGGAAAGGGGTGCAAAGATTTGTCAAAGATCATGCAATTATTAGTGTTCCTTTTCCTCCACGTTTCTCATTAATGCATATTGTATAATGCAGGGGTTTAAAAGGTGAGTGATAGTTCCATGAACGCATATAATAAAGTTTGATCATATATACTCTTTCTTATCCCCTCTCCTTCACCCTCATTAAAATATTTCTTGTCATTTAGAAAATGGGTTTCCCTAGGACTTTTTCATACATGCATGTAGTAATTACTGTTTTCTGCTTCCTTAATTGGCTCTTTTGCTTCCCTACCCCCCAGTGGCACAAAGAAAATGAAAATCTCTGCTTTTTAAAAATAAAAATTGGAATCTTTCATTTGGAGATCATTATGGACGCAAATATGACTGGAATGTTCTTTACTTACATATAGCTTATATTAGCCTCTTTTTAGCTGTCTCAACACCTGCTTGCTTTTATTTTATTTATTTTTCTTTCAATACTTATTGAGCCTTTATTATGGGTTAGGCATTATCCTAGGCTTGTGCTCAGCTCTTCCAGCCAGCTATGATATTTCACTCTCTCTTTCTCTCTCTTGTGGCAGAGCTGAGGATCACACACAGGGCCTTGCACTTGCTAGACAAGTGCTCTTTCACTGAGCCAAATCCCCAACCTTCTGCTTGTTTTCATAAAGCAGTTTTCTGTGCATCAAGGTTTCTCCTTGGATGGTTGTCTGGATGGCCCTTTGACTTTCCTTTCTTTGTAGGTTCTATTTATGATTGTCTTTTAAAGACATCCTTTAAACTGCAAGTGGCCTTTTTGAAGTGAACTGGCTCACTCATTTACCTCTTATCAGTAGTCAGAAACTTAATCTAGTTGAGAAGCAAGCAGATCCAAGGCCTGGTGAACACTAGTGATGGAGATGATGATGCAGCAGTGATCATTTCTATCACTGTGGCTCACTGTCCTTTCGAAAAGTAAAGCTCAGAACATTTGTTAAGCAGACCCATGGAAAGGCATAGCTCATACTCATCCCTAGCTGTCTTCCATGGTGGAGTAGTAACCAGTGGCCATTTCCCCACGTTTTCATGAAAAGCATTATCAGAGTAAGATCCACCTGAATACAGTTGTTGTGTGTGGATAAATATTTGCTTGACACGGTTGCAGAAGCATGCCTTCTCTCTCTCTCTCTCTCTCTCTCTCTCTCTCTCTCTTTTTGCTCATGCGTATGCATTGTGTGTGTGTACACTCCAGTACTGGGACTTGAACTCAGAGCCTTGCACTTTTGCTTTAGCAGCTTTTATTATTATTTTGCTCAAGACTGAAGCTCTACTACTTGAGCCGTGCCTCTACTTCCATTTTTTTTTGCTTGTTATTTGAAGATAAGAGTCTGGGATTTGTCTGCCCAGATTGACTTTGAACCTTAATCCTCAAATCTCCACTTCCTGAGTAGCTAGAATTACAGGCATGAGTCACCAGAGCCTGGCTTTCAATCTATTCTGAATTGATCAGAAATCAGATATTGCAAAATGTACCCTCCTCATTGGCTGTCACTGCTAAGTGGCCCCACTCTGCAATGGCTGCTGTGTGAATGGACTGGACGAAGGTCTCAGTCAAGTTCTGTAGAAGCCAGAAGGGATGGATGGATGCCTGATGGGGTTCATGAACATGTCTCCTTCTTCTGTCAGCCCTGGAATTCTCCAGGGCGTCCTTCCACACCAGTTAGTTTCCACGTGTGAACAGACAGGGTGTTTGACTAATGAGGGGAGGGAGGACTAAGGCCAACAGAAGCCAGTGCTTCCTGGTCTGCAGGGGGAAGGACAGCACTGAGATCAGCTTCTCAGAGCAGAGATTGAACAGGGTCAGAACCTTTCCTTACAAACTTTCTCTTGACTTGATGACATCCAGATAGGGACCTTTTCCTATGATGCTATGGGGAAACATTTGCATGCTGAACACAGCATGCACATGAACAACAGCAACAACAAAGAAAAGTACAAACACTCGTGGAAGTTTTATCTTACCTGTCCTGGGCTTTCAGTCTGGGAGCTGGAAACTTGCACCAGCCATCCAAGCAGAAACAGTTGTAAGTATTGTAGCATGTCCAGCAATTGTCTGCTCCTTCTCCTGGCCAGGCACCTGTCAGAACAATTTAGCTTTGGGGGAATTCTTTCTCATTTCAGTGTTGACTTTAAAATCCTCACCTTCCCTTTTCCTAGAGGGCAATGAGAAGATACACAGGATTGGCCTCTAAGCAGGGAAAATGGCAGATTCAGGGTCTTCTGCAGATGAGTCACTCTGTCCTGTATATATGGCCTGGCTGAATGACAGGATTTCCTGGAAGGGCCAGGGCAGAGGATGGACCTGGGATTCCTACGCCTTGTGAAACTCCCAGGGCCGGCTCTGCCCACTCTGCTTCTGGGTTTGCCTGTTCTCTCTTCTAAACCACAGACAGCATGGGTTATCCTGGGCCTTTCTGTATAAAGGCCAAGGTCCAAGTGTGTTGTCAAGTGGTGTTTGAAGAACATTCCTTCCAGATGTGGACAGAATGGCACAGAGGCCTGGTCCGGGTTCTGTGTGGTGGTCAGCTCCACTAGATGTGGACAGCTGGGTTTTCAGCACATCCTTTCTTCTCTTCCAGGTGTCTCTAGTATCAAGTGATGGGTCTGTGGATCTGATCCAGCCTTTCATGGCTCCATTGAACTTCACTACTGCCAGGAAGACTTCCTGTCCCGTTCCCTCCCAGTCTTTTCCATACAGTACCACGAAACCCCAGTCACACCTATTCCAGTTCATCTATCTGTCTTGTCCTCCATCTGTACCTGTGAATCCTTTGAGGGCAGAAGCGAAGTCTTTTCCTGTTCTGTATCCCACACCACTTTCTAAAACCTAGCCCATGCCAGTCGCTCTTCTAGACCTCTCTGTGGATCTGTTTGACTTTTGAAGCACTGGAATGGAATAATGAGGCTCATGCTCCCCATTTTACGTAGGAGGAAACTGAGGCAGAAAGGTTAAGCAACTTACTCTAATCACAAAGCTAGTGGATGGCAAATACAGAATTCAGACTGTGGTTTCAGAGCCAGCACTGCTCACCCCTGATTTATGCTACTGAAAATAATTCAGAGTTCATGAACGAATAAATAGCAGTCCTATTAGACATCATGAGGAAAAGGGTTACAAGGACAGCATATGGGCCTCTCCACAAATGGGCATAGTAAGGAAACAGGTTGGCTCATGCAGTCCCAGATACTATAGTTTTAGTTAAATGATTCCTCTCTCCCTCCCTCTCTCCTTTCCCCCTACCCTTCTTCCCCTCCCCCCCCCATGCATACACACTCTTGAAAACTATTGACCAATAATCTAAGAGACTTTCCCAACATAAACCCGTTGGAAGCTAACCAGAAGTCTAAGTGTGAAGATATCAAACAACTTGGCCAGCTGGGATGGCTCATGTCTGTAACCCCAGCTAAACTGGAGACATAAGATATCTGAGGCCAATCTTGGCAAAAATGTGAGATCCTATCTGAAAGGAAAAAAAAATCCCAACAAACAAAAAACCTCAGTCAAACATGGGCTGGATGGGGCAGGGATCAAGTGGTAGAGCACCTGTTTAGCACATGCAAGGCTCTGAGTTCAAGTACCGCTACAGCCAAACAACAACAATAAGAACAAATCCCCAAAATTAACGTCTGGTCTTAACTCTAGAAGAGCCGCATCAGAGCTCCTGGGCATGGGGCACAGGTTGAGGATTTCTGAGGCTTCTCAGGTGATTTTCCTGGTGCTGACTAGTTCCTTAAAGATTTACTAGTAATCATTGAAGGACAATGTTCATTTGTCACAGCAGCTGTATGACCTTGACTAATAGGTCAGGGAAATAACTTAGAAGCTTTTTTTTCTGAGTGTGTATGTATGTGTGTGTGTGTGTGTATGTGCATGCATATGTGTCTATATGTGTATACGTGCGTATATGTTGGCCTAGAGCTTGAACTCAGGGCCTGGGGTCTGTCCCCGAGGATTTTTCCTTTGCTGGGCTAGAGTTCTACTATTTGAGCCACAGTAACACTTCTGTTTTTTTTTTTTAATTGGTTAATTCAACATAAGAGTCTCACTGACTTTTCCTGGCTAAGCTGGCTTCGAACTGTGTTCCCCAAATCCTCAGCTTCTTGAGTAGCTAGTATTATAGGCATGAGCCACCAGCGCCCAGCTGGAGTCTTTTCTTTCTGAAGAGTGGGGATAAGTGTTTGGGGCTTGGAATCAGCTAGAGCCCCAATGGAATAGTGAAAGGAATCCGTGCGGCTGATTTCATGATACTCTTGGGAGATGATGGCCAGATGATTTTGGGAGCCTTTTCTTTTGGATTGACCATGCTCCCTAGGCCAGCCTAGGTCCTGCAGAATACCCAAATGAACTCAAGTAAGCACAGATGAGCGCTGAGGTGGTATTTTCCCAGTTGTCTGTGACCAAGGGCTGCTTTTTTGCTTTCTGCAGATTCATTCAGCAGGTTCCAGATCTGGTCATGTGGTGGGTGAGCTCTGTGAGGGGAAAAAACTGCCTTAGACTTCATCAGGGAGGCGATTCTAGTTTTTCATTCCCAGGAAGTGGAAATTGGCCTGTCTAGGACCTGTGGGTGAACTTCAGCCATTATCTAGAAAGAACGTTCTTGTAGTTCTTGTCACACAATTTAGAAATGGTCTGCAGCGCGGTGGCATTTGATCTTGTTTCTGGCAGTCTCCTTTGCGTGCTGTACACAGAGACTCTTCAGCTTCGTCTAAGTCCTTACCATCCTGTCCCCCAGTGTGCCCACAATTGCCAAGTAGAGCCCCAAGAAGGGCCCCTTGCACCTGGTGGGTGCTCAGTCATGCTTGGCTGTGGTTCGTGGACACCCTGCAAATGTGACAGACAGCGGCTGCCCAGACTTCCACCTTTTCCTGTTGTCGTGCTGGGTGGCCCTGGATTTCCCCTGGCTTGGGTCGTCACAGTTGTGCGGATCTGTGTGTCCCTTATTGGGAAGCGTGCCATATTCCTTTCAGCAGATGGTTGTAATCGCTGCCTCTGTTCATTTAAGTTTTACATTGTCTTTTCTTCCCAGGCAGTTAGCTTACTTCTACATCATTGATTTTTTTTTGGTCATGGGGCTTGAACTCAGGGCCTAGATGCTGTCCTTAGGCTTTCAAGGATAGTGTTCTACCACTTTGAGCCACAGCTCTACTTCCAGCCTTTTTGGGTAGTTAATTGGAGATAAGAGTCCTCTCGGCCTTTCCTGCCAACCATGATCCTGAGTAGCTAGGATTGCAGGTAGGAGCCACCCGCGCCCGGCCCACATCATCGTTTTAGACCTGGGGGTGGCTCTCCCCTTCTGCCCTGTGTTCTCTCCCGTTCCTCCTTATGTCTTTCTTGATGTCCACTCACCCTCTGCCTCCCAGGCCTCCCCTGTGACACAGTGAGAGGTGCGTTTCCTGCCAGGTGATGGGAGAACTTTCTGGTGTGCAATCTCAGAGAACTCTTTTCATAGTAGAAAAAAGAAAATAAAACCAAACCAACATCAGGATGGAGCGTGGGAAGTTTCCTAGGTCACATGTTGAGCATTTGCTGTGGTTATTGACTCTGATGGTCAATGTTTAATTGTTCTGTGTATGGTGTCTTTGCTCTATAATATGCTTGTTATAGAATCTGAAGTCTTTAGTTACTTTGGCTCTTCTGGAGCTTGGGAGATAGGAATGAAAAAAATACAATTTTTTTTTAACCAGAAAATTGGCCTCTGTTTCTCACTTTCATTTCTGGACTTTTGTCTCCCTAGCAAAGTAAAAGACACTGTTGATTCCCATATGGGTAAGAGTAGACTTGTTCTACTTCGTAAGAATAACTCTAACCACCAGTGTCCTGGCTTAGTTCATGATTTCATTAAAAATGAAAGGATTTGGGCTGGGGAGGTGGCTCAGTGGTAGAGTGCTTGCCTTGCATGCCTGAGGCCCTGGGTTCGATTCCTCAGCATCACATAAACAAAAAGAAAAAAGCCGGAAGTGGCGCTGTGGCTCAAGTGGTAGAGTGCTAGCCTTGAGCTGAAGAGCTGAGGGACAGCGCCCAGGCCCAGAGTTCAGGCCCCATGACCGGACCCAAAAAAAAAATGAAAGGATTTTATAAAAAAATGATTCCACATTTTAAAAACAACCTTCAGCTGGGCACCAGTGGCTCACACCTGTAATCCTAGATCCTCAGGAGGTTGAGCTCTGAAGATTGAGGCTCAAAACCAACCTGTACTAACAAATCTAAGAGACTCTTATCTCAAAAAAAAAAACAACAAAACAGCAGGAGAGATGGATTTTTTCTGTCCTATTGTGAAGATTTCTTGCTCGAGTGGACACTGCCAGTGGAATTAGTTTATTAAACAAATAGCTTGGGGTTAGATTCTTCTGGACATTCTTTTTTGATTTATTAGGAAGAAATGTCAGTACCCAAAACATCCAGGCAAGTGCTTAACACATTTTCTTTTCTCCTTCATATCTGATTATAACTTTGAGACAACCCGTAGCTATTTATATCACAATTGTAAAAGGGAATTTACATTTTTCTTCTTGGTTGAGCTCTTTCCTGTACTGATCTGCTGAGTGACATCACATTCCTGTTTTCTTTGCTTGTCTCTCTTTTCTGCTTTGGGTAAAAAAAAATCTTTTTTTTTAAGATCAAAGGCCATGTCTAACATAGCCAAAAATAGTGTATAGTTTTGTATAGTAAACAGTTAAAATAACCTTGGTTTTAAAAAAACTGACATGAAAAAGACATTTTAATGTCTTCTAATGAAATAAACTTTATTTATTTACTTTTTTTGGTCAATCATGGGGCTTAAACTCAGGGCCTGGGTGCTGTTCCTGAGCTTGTTTGTTCAAGACTAGCACTTTGCCACTTTGAGCCACAGTTCCACTTCTGGCTTTTTAGTGGTTAACTGAAGATAAGAAACACATGAACTTTCTTGCCTAGGCTGGCTTCGAACTATAATCCTCAGATCTCAGACTCCTGAGTAGCTAGGATTATAGGTGTCAGCCCCCAGCGCCCGCTTAAATAATATTTTATTGGGCTTGCTTGTATAAGTGGCTGTCCTACATGCCTTTCTTTAATTGTGTAGACAAGGTCATATCTAACAGCACAATTTGTTTCCTTACGTGTTATCACAGGAAACTTT